AAACAAAACCTCACATGTATTGCTACAGTTTATCAATCATTTGCTGAAATTATACCTGAATTCAAGTCTTCAACAACAAGTTTCCCAGTGGCAAATGCATCGTTCATTGTTGTAGCAATAACACCAACTGGACCACTACGCACCCAACCACTACAATATACACCTATAACATTCACTWATTAAATACAAGCCTGAAGAATGGAGTTAAGAAAAATAGAGTAGAGAAAGGATAGAATGGGCTCAGATAATGGAGAAAAATRGATGCCAATGGATGGAAAAACTTTGAAATTAATGAATTACAGGTACGAATATCCTGTAAGCAAAAGGAAACAGAAAAATGGTCCATCAGTAGAGCTGCCCACCTTTGAGATAATAAGAGTGATAACAGTAGTGTTTGTGAGAAGGAGGGTTTTGAAATGATATTTAGAGCTATTCTCTTACAAGTGTCTGCAAGCCAAGGTTTAACTGTATTACCACATTTTATACCTCTCATGTTTAGAACTCTGCCATCATCATTGGGAACGAYACCATTTTTGTGATCAAATGGTACTGTATCATCAATAGGAATACTTTTATATCCAATGCTACGAAAAACCTAGAAAACATAAAAACAAAGGATGAGATATTGTTGAAAAGGAGTATAGAATGCTGTAATTATTTAGAGGTATTGAATTATTATAAGTAGTTACCAGTCCACATGGAAGAGTCTCAGTTTTTCCAGTCCCCTTTGCTCTGACTACACCATCTGAAGTCTAAATTATACAAAAGGTTACTGTGCTATTGCAGAAAGAATTTTAATGATTAGAAAAACAATAACAGTAAATCCATAAAAATTGTACTATTTGCCTTGACTGTGTTTTGTAGTTTAGTTGGTGCTCATGTAGGAAAGATGGCCATAACTTTTGCTGTTACGTAACATAACACTACAACCACCACTTCCTAAGACAAATTACTCTGATTGGCTCAACAAACAAGAGATTTCATTGGAACAACCACTTCAATGTTAGATGCTATGCTATTGCATTTTTGCGACCCAACAATGTTTTTTCAGCTGATAAATAACAAATGAATGTTCTAGAGGAGCTTRAAAGCTCCTTTTCTTGGACGAGAGTTATTCAACTGTTAGATCTAGGTTTGTCTGCCTTATTTACTCATGTCTGGGTAAATGGGGATGGCCATGGCTAGAGTTTGTTCATGATCACCAGCTCACGRAAAACAAACAACATCTCCTTTACACAAACTCTGACCTSCCACMCAGAAAACCAATGAACATTATGATTGACATCTCATATCATAATAATAGTTTTCTCATGTCACTGCATCACTGATAAGAATATACAAGTACTAAACATCAATAACATTCTTGTCTTTGTCATACCTCACTAAGTTCATTTATTTCCAATTTGATACCATCAACACGTGATCTGTCTTGTGATGAAAGGATTTCTACAGGACTACGCAAGAACTTYACCAACCACTGTGTACTGGCTTYGGTCCRTCTGTCCATCTCTTGTGGTGTATGGTCATCCCTGACACACACACACAAAACACTGTCACTTTTTGRTTTCACCTATTGAATACTCACTTATATGTCATCTAGCTTACTAATAACAGCTTCRCACTCCCATTATTTCAACAACAATAGTCAGCTGTCTGGTGATTTCTACACTTACATTGCAACCTTGTACATCAATTCTGTTAACCGCTTACGAGATCTTGGGATTTCTAGAGAACATAATAGCAAACAGTCAATCAAACCAATTGATAATATCAACTTATGAATAACATTACATGCAGAGTTTTTATCAAAGATCAAATTCTAGATTGAATGCAAGCTAATACAAAATGTCTCTTTACAGTTGACAATATGGTATATCGTACTTGGTAAAAGAGTCTTTATGGGTTTCAGGTCATCAGCAGGAAAGACAGCTTTAGTTCCAGCTATTTTTGTCAATTCACGYAGYTCCTTAATGGTGAAAGCAACCTTGTAAAACAGTAAAGCAAAATTTATTAAATTACAAATCAATAAAAYAACATTACAACAAAARAGCAYAAAATATACCATTGATTGTTCTCAAACCCACCTGTAAYGGCCCTCTTCTACCAACAAGGTAAACTGTCTTTACTTTGCTTTCCTTTAGTGCTTGAACTGCATGATCACAGATATCAGTTTTCTGCAAAATCACATTWACAAGTAATCCTAAACACATGGTTATTGATAATGAAAATGAYTTAAATGGAATAAAGACAGAGACTGCTTGTGTTAAGTTGCTGTCAAATAGATTATAGATTAAAATCAATGCCCAAATACAGCAAGTACATTAGACATCTGGTATAAAAGAGCTCATTGATCAGTTTTATGAAGGGTGATTAGCGMCATACACAGGATAGTCATGATATGCAATAATTTCTGAGTGTTTTTTTAGAATGAGTTTTCTTACTTCAAGAAATTGAAGGGGAGTTAATAGAATCCTAGCGACATCAAGAGCAACGTTGCCATGTCCAAGGATAATAGCTGTCTCTGAACTTAGGTCTGGTGATAACTAAATAAAAACACTAGGTATGGTAAATATTGTATTAATATTATATTGTTATACAGCCTTTTGCAAAAATTATGAGAATTGTCTAAATATCTAAATATCATAATATCCATATCCATATATTGTCTGGAACAAGCGGGTTTGCTAGAATAATTCATTGCTGACATTGAGAAAATGTTCAGAACTACGGATAAGTCTGTCGCCAAAAAAACCCTAAACTACAAAGACAAGGGACTAAGGGCATCGCCCGGGTTTACTCATCATGCACTCGATATTATGATATTTAGATATTTCGACAATTCTCATAATTTTTGCAAAAGGCTGTAATACATTGAATACTGAGATTACATTGATATTCTGTGGTAGACCATTGTACCATCCAACAAAGTCTCTTGCTCCATAAACACCATGCAAATCCTACAATAAAACCAAACTTTTATCCTGCTGGAGAATTTTTAAAAGCAGGAGGACTTTAAGAGCAATAGAGGGCCCTCTTAACACAATGACTTGACAAACATCTAGCATATTGAGTTAATGTCTTGGCCAGAATTTGTTAGTCTGTTGCATATTTTTTGTACAATCATGGGTAAGAGATATAATCACCAATCCTGTCATAGAAACTGAAGATGGCATGTACAATATTTTGCAACCAAATCTAATATTGATTTTATGATGTGTTGGTGACTGACCTCTCCTGGTATGTGTAATCTTCTGTCATCTTCAGCTCCATAACACTACAAAATAATAAATACACGAGAAAATAATTAATACTGTGATGAAAATGTCAGAAATCCATCCAACATATCCTCAATCCCTGTAGATTGTACTAAGCTGTCCAAAAACCTTAAATCATAAATGAATAAAATCATAGCTCTTACCAAAACTATACAATCATAAGCATCTTGCAGCTCTTTAACCTTGATATCTTTACCGACATGTATATTGCCATAAAATGAACACCTATCAGACAAGGCTGTTGTAGTAAACTGGTTGATACAGTTCTGTAAAAGAATTAGTTACACATTGAAATATCATGAAATGATAGATTCACTCCAGTCTGTGATTTGAAGGTTGTAATGTTTGCAGATGGTCCATTGTGAACTTTCACATCAAATTATTTAAAAGTGGAAGACTTGAGAACTGCCAATAAGGGTGCTCATTAGAATTTAGAATAAGCAGCCAATGAGAGCAAAGTACATATTATATTCCAGTACACAGAACATAATCTTCATTGCTGATTCTCAAATGAATATAACAACAGTTTTGGTTGGGCTGCATGCAGTCTACATAAATTCTACAAAAATTGTAACTTAATTGCTAAATCAGCTAAATCCTAACTGAAAACCAATGCTGTCAAGGAAATTGCAATCTCTGTGATGTTATTTCATCCCATTTGCAGCCTACCCCGTTGTCCAGTTTTGGACACAAAGCCTGCTTGAATATTCTAAATGCATATTATAAATTCTGTGCCAATCATTGTAGCACAGTATCAATGTGGTGGCGTTGAGAAAGAGTTGTTACCTTTGTTTCAGGGTGGTCTGGTGCAATCCCAAATCTTGCCAGCCCAAAAGGTACAGGAAGATAATCYAGGATATCCACTCTAGCTGTGTCATGTGACTATCCAAATAATAATATATCATTGGCAGGGGAATTTTCATAACAATGAACATTGTGTGTTCTGKTCCCATAAAGAATGAAAGGTAAACTGAATTATTGGAAAATATGCTAGAGGGTGGGAAAGGGTGGCTGTGGTACTCCTTGCTTCCATTAAAAGCTTATCATTCCTAGACAGCCAGAGTTCTAAGGACAGAATTTGTACACTCTGTAATAATCAAAACTGTAAATTAAATAGGTGATTAGTTTTAATGTCCAATGTTTTTATATCTCTGCGGCTATCCCGTGTGTCTATGATCACTTTTGTTGCCTGGTGACACAGCAGTCATGAATTAATGTAAATTTCAAAAATACAAATTCAAATATCATAATAGAATTTGGAARYTACAAGATTATTTTCMTCGAATAGCAAYAAMTTAATCCACAGGCAAAAAAATCACAAGAGTGCATTGTAAGTGATGGGCTCCCTGTGTAATAATAAAACATCAATCAAAAGACTACGTATATAATCTCAGTCCTTAATGCAGACATTGTTGTAAGCTATTGAAGGCTAACGTCTATAGTAATCGAGGTTGGTGCGTATCAAATGCTAACCTTTATTATTTGTTGTGCACTATAAAATCCTGCCGGTCCAGCTCCCACAATGCAGACTTGAGGACAACTACCACGGCTGTAGTGACGTACAGATAGCCTTGTCAGAACTCGAGATATACTACGATACTGGCTAAAAGTCATAACGATGATTTATAGCTTAGAAACAAGGACTAAAACTACAAAAAATAGACTATTTCTGACACTCCATGTTTAGTTACCAGTGCGCGCAGCGTAATCAGACATTGCATTGTGGGTAGGTATTTTCAAAATGGCGGCGGCAAGTGGAGGAGTAGAAACAAAATTGACAACGAAAAACCCAGTATCYATCATAGTTTTAGGGATGGCAGGGTCTGGAAAGACGACATTTGTGCAGGTTTGTAGTAAGACCTTTTTATATTTTGCAAACAAAGAGAAGTTTTCTTYATTTTATGAATGTTGAATAAATTGTCACGTGCTATTGCAAAAAGATCGATATCCTCCAATGATAAAAACCAAGACTAAAACTGCACCATGTAGGATATTAACAATATACCTGTGAAGTAGTCAGTGTAGATTACTAACATATAGTGTTGATTAGACAATAGTAATAAATTAAAAATAACAAAACATTCTTAATACAGCTTTTCATTATCATCACAATACAATCAATCATTATCTCCACCATAAGGCTTTATTGTATAAAGGTTCGCTATTTCAGTCCAGTAGATTGCTCTGCTTTCTGTTTTCAGAGACTAACAGCCCATCTGCATAGTGTCAAGAAGCCACCCTATGTAGTAAATCTTGACCCTGCCGTCCATGAAGTTCCATACCCAGCTAATATTGACATCAGAGATACTGTCAACTATAAGGAGGTGATGAAGCAGTTTGGCCTGGGTCCTAATGGTGGAATTATTACATCACTAAATCTGTTTGCTACAAGATTTGATCAAGTCATGAACTTTATGGAGAAAAAGGGCTCAGAATATCAGTGAGTGGATGAAACAAGAATGAATTATTATACAATGTAATAGAAATTATATAATGTTTTGTATGTTGGTTCTCATTGTTAGCAACAGCCATTGTCAAATGTGTTAGCATGATCGTTTAAATCAAGTCCAAAAATTTTTTTCAAGTGTCTGCAATTTCTTAAACTATGAAAAAGTCAACACACACTACACCAGAAACACCAACTCATTATTGTAGAGGAAATGGTGGAACACCTGTAGATTCATTTGTATCCAACCAACTTTTTGCCAAGGATTGAAGCTCACATGAAAAAGATTATACTGTATTAGTTCTTTCTTGATATCAACAGGGGTTATATTTGATGTATCTTCTAAGAAATGTTTATTTTTTTATTGTGAAGAACATGTCATTATCTCTATTACTTATTATAGTATACATTCAGTGCCTTGTTGTTTTTRATATGTACATCCTACCCAGACAAAGCCATATTTCCATTAATTGACTATCTTGTTTTTGTAGATATGCTGTATTTGACACTCCAGGACAAATTGAAGTCTTTACTTGGTCAGCTTCAGGATCAATTATYACAGAAGCMCTGGCTTCTTCATTCCCTACTGTAGTGGTATACATCATGGACACTGCACGAAGTACTAACCCGGTTACCTTTATGTCTAATATGCTGTATGCTTGCAGTATTCTCTACAAGTCCAAACTACCTTTCATTGTGGTGATGAATAAGGTAGGTACAGAAATGGCCAGAATCTTCTCATTATAAACCACTTATTGTGATATATTATAATGTGTGAAAATAATATTACTGGTTTACACAGCAGAGAACAATCTATGAATGTTTYTCCACTTGGCCATGAAAGCTAGAAATATTTATTTTGTTTTCTTGATAAGTTTGTAATACAGTTAACACTATTTTCAATGCAGTTCAAAGTGACAATCAATAATGTTTCTTTTCAGACAGATATTGTAGACCATAGTTTTGCAATGGAATGGATGCAAGACTTTGAAGTTTTCCAGGAAGCKYTGTCCCAGGATACMACATACATGTCAAGTTTGACYAGATCAATGAGTCTTGTACTGGACGAGTTCTATCAAAACCTAAAWGTAGTAGGTGTATCRTCAATGACTGGTAGTGGTTTTGGCGAGTTTCTTACTGCTATTGACCATGCAGTGCATGAGTATGAGACAGAATACAGACCAGGTTTGTTGACAAATTTTGAARAAATATGTATTTAAATACTAGATACAGTATAAGTTAATATTTTTCTACTTGCAAAACATTTAGCACTGATGACAGTTCATTTAGCASACCAAAACTCTTGAATAGATTTTGATATTATGGGTAATGTAAACCAGAGGCAAAGTATTTCAYTTTCATTATGGATTCTGGCTGCATTTTCACTTATTTATGTACTTAGTTGATGGTAAACTTTGATCAACATACAAAATATTTTTTCAAAGAGTATGAAAGGCTCAAAGCAGAGAAAACCAAGAAAACTGAAGCAGAACAGTTAGAGCAGCTACAAAAGCTGCAAAAAGATTTGGGAAAAGGAAAAGATGTACCATTAGCTTCACCATTATTGACAACAACTCCAAGACCACACGCTGTCTCAATAGGACCAGAGCTAGACAGTGATGATGATGTTGATACAAACATTGATAACAATGATGAAGACCCCACGGAAACTGAATCATTCMAACGGTACTTGAAAAACTTAAAATTAGAAGACACAAATGAAAAACAAACTGATGGATGATAATTTCATAATTGCTGTTTATAGAATTGTATAGTATACCACAGCAGTTTGTGTTCCTTTTCTGTAAGAATTCATATGTAGAAAGGCATTTAAACAKTTCAACAAGGGCATTCAAACATTTCAATGTGATATGGTTACTCAAGAGCCTTTAATATTTTGCTAGCAATRTAGTGCACCATATGAMAATGAAATTGGAAAATCATTTTAGTATGTAGAGTGAATGCTTTTGATCCRTGAAATGTAACTAGCTTCTTCATAATATTTTGAGCAATTCAAAGAATAATTGTGATTCAAACTCCATTTCAGCTGCAGATTCAGTGCAAATTTATGGTATTTTGATTTTGTACAATTTCATGGATTAAATATGTTCAGTCTAGTACATCATCGTGTAAAATGACCTATTACTTTACTGTTGTTTCCTATACAAACAGTCCAGAAAACGGTCATAACTTACAAATACCAATCATCAAAAGAACCAGTTGAAACCAATGGTTTTGATTGATGGCAGGCTATTGCATAGTGTAGGTTTTTTCTCAGCTGATTGTATGACAATGCAAATTACGGTACAGTAGCATGTATTTATTTATAKGCCCAGGGTCCTCCCCATACATACTGTTCTAGTTGTAATAGATTTTATTATAAAACAGTATTTTATCTAATAGTATATTAATAGTATCACCGTTGTACAACCAAAACAAGGCATTTATCAAATGATTTTACAACATCAGGTGTGACTTACATGTTGCTGCATGCAACAGAAACAAAAGTGTTGTAAAGAATATAACACTAGTTTTGGTTGGGCTGCCTGCAGGTCATTCATTKCAATGTATAATAATAGCCGACTTTAGATATTTTGGTTCGGTGACCATGCAGAAAGAATTGTAGATGAGGCTCTGGGGAAATAAAAGAATAAATCAAGATTATCCATTATCTTCCMGGAGCCTTGTGTATGTTCTTTTGTACATACATGTAGTCATTGAAACCAAAATATCGAACCAAAAGTTGACTATTGCCTATAAACATGTAGTAAGGCCCACGATGTATTGATTATATTAACTTTTTACATTCATTCAAAGTGTTTGCAGGATAAGAATAACAAGAAAATGACATCCATTCATCTCTTCTTTCCTTTCCCACTTTTCTTTCCCTTCTTCCCTTTTTTCCCTTTTTTCTTCTTTTTCTGGAGTAATTTTCTGGCCTTGTGTGCTCTCCACATTGCTTGGATTAATCTTGCTGCTCGTATTTTCATGTTTAATTCTCTCTCAGCTGCTTCAGCCTTTTCCTTGGCAATCCTGCGTTCCTCAATGATYGTTGTGTATTCTTTCTCAAGGGTTTTGAAACGTTCTTCTAGTTCTTGAAGCTGCTTCTTTTCCTCAGTGTAGACTGCATCAAGTGCATCAAACTCATCCTACAAAACAACAACATCAAAATCATCCTACAAAACAACAACATYAAACTCATCCTACAAAATGACAAGACGTCTTAATAAACTCATTTGTTTACCTTTTATGAGAATAAATGGGATTATACAGTCAACCTTCAAAACTCTTTTAAACTCTTTTACGCTTTTTATTTTTATTTATTTTTTTGTGCATGTCATTTGAATTGATAATTCCACATAATCAACCAGAMWMTCTGCTTTACCTGTCTCTCCCCCATATCACTATCAAACTTTTGGATCCAGTTCTCAACTTCTGTTTCAATTTTGTATTTTCTCTGTTGAAAAAAAACAAGTGAGTTAGTAAAAGAATCCCTAGGTCTCAGAAATTCATAAAGTACAATTAAATCATTGAAATGATGTCTTTAAATTACACCTTATTCAAAAAATTTTTACTAAAAAGACAAAAGAAATTGATCAGCTTTAGAGGTCCTCTTGTCTTTTAGTTCTGAATTCCAAGACTTTTAATGTTGGTATAAAAACATTCTTGCAATCATGTGCAAAATTTTGTGCATGTACTCAGTTTTTCTAACCTTACGTAAAGCAAGCTCACTTTCTCTGTGTGTGGTGCGTTCTGCTTCAAGTCGTTTTCTTGTTTCTATAATTTCTTGTGTTAATTTTGCTCTCTTTCCATCAGAATTCTTGACGTCAGCCATTTCTTGTTTGCTTGCTTCATTTATGATGCGACGGTTCTGTTCTTCAGAGTTTGTYTCAATGTTGTAGATGTCGTTTTTAAGTCTTCTGATCATATCATTTCTCTTGGATATCTGCAACAAGAATAATGTTCATTTATGAGACTGATGCATCAAATGGCAGGACTATCAGCTGTATACTTGCCACTGAGGATAGGAAGCTAAAAGTTGAAGAATATTGACAGATTCAATTTAAAGGAGATTCTACTGAACTATTCGTTTTCACTAAAGGAAATAAATATCAAAATATCAAATCCCCTTGGCAATCCAGTGCTCTCCATTTCCATGCTAATTACTAAAGGTGAAAATGTGCTGGACCCAAACTAGAACCAGAGTGTAGAGTATGAAACTCACCTCGTTATCTCTATCATCAATGGCGTTCTGTAATTCTCCCTTTAGTTTCTTGGCAAACACATTTGATTTCTTTTCTCTTTCCATAACGGCAGTCAGGTAAAGGCGTCGATCTTTAACCTCGTTAGGAGTTGTCAACAATCTTTCAAAYACGATGGCTCTTAATAAAGAAAGCTCATCTATCATCGAATTAGCTTCAAATGACCGTTCCTTTCTCTCTTTCCTGATCGCCAYAACTGCTGTTGGGTTTAGCGAAAACATGCGRAGAACGGTTCTGATCGACTGCTGCACTAAACTACCCAAGTTGGCAATTCGACCARCGTCAATCTCGCTCGTGTCGTCTTCATGGACACTTTTTTGTACACTTGATGTSGTTACTTTTTGTGCTAAGCCACCAGCACTACCAATAGAACTACGACGACTTGATTTTTGAGAAGAATGAAGTTCTGGAACAAGTTCTTCAGATTCGAGACTTGATCTTCGCGAGGAAGGACCAGGGACTGGAGAAGGATTTTGTGGCGATGAAGAACGTGCTCGTTTYTGTTCAAGTTCATACTTGGACAGTAATTTTCTGTAATTATTTTGCAAAATGTCATGCTCCTGTAGCACTCGGGTTAAGTCTGCGCCTAARATCACCGAGAATCGATCCAAGTTTTCAGTAATATATGGCAGTAAAGTAACAACCTCAGCGCGTCGGATAGTATCATCGACCACAGCGAGAACTCGTTGAGCCTCGACWGATGTTAGCTTTTTCTTTGCTGGATCAAGAACTTTTAATGGATCATTTGCATCTTTTGGCTTTGGTTTAGATTTTTCTTTGACTTTGATGTTCAACTGTTCGAAACTCGAGGCCACAGACGCTGTTGTGTCGATCCGTGCTGAAGGCTCGACCATGGCCGCCATTTTTGAGGTTCTTGTGTTCTCCTGGTTGATATGGTAACGAACTAAACACACAGGGAGTCCACAATGTTATGTTATGTAAAAACACTGTACATTTCCTTCCTGTAACCAGACAACTAGATAAAATTTATTTACCTGATATCTCAGAAACTAAACCCGACCAATTTAGAATTTAACAGTTATGTTCATTTATGTCCACTTAAATCTATAGTGGACAGGCTCATTGTAGATTTCTAACACCTGGGTGACTACTAGAGACACACTTTTAGTGGTGTAATAGCAAGCAGGGCTGGGCAGCCTGACTACTCATTATAAATGGTATTTCAAACTAATGCCCATACAATATTTACTTATTATAAATCCTTTGAAAATTACCATATAAAATGTACATGGAAGGCATTCTGTACATACACCAATGACCCTGTATATGTACATCGATATATTGAAGTCATACAAGATCCTTTTCGAAAATCCCAATCCTTTTAACATGAAAAGTAGTACTGCATGGCCACAGTGATGGTGAAACAAAGTCCCTTTTAGTYTATTACCCCATGCTTACATTGGACTGATCATTATTTCAGTCACTGCGAACAGGTAGGCCAAAACAACTGGACAAGGTACAGAGCAATATTATTGAGACAAAACTTGACTATTAAAGTGTGACAGTCAAATAGACACAAAAGAAAACAATTAGAGCGTACTGAGGTGTATTAGAGTGGTTTTCCGTCAACCATGAAAGCACAATAAGTCCAATAGTTAGTAGTAGTTTGTAATAGACCAATACTAATAGTCTAGTCTAGAGTAGACCTGTATCCTATTGATAGGTATCAACATGTTCATCACAAAAACACAAGTTTTTTGGTGTTAATTATAGTGGTTAGCTGTTTGTCTATAGTCTATATGTCTAAAAGTTGTATTGACTATTACTAATTGCTATTAACTAGTTGGTCTATATCTTTTCATGGTTGACAGAAAACTACTCTAGTGTAATATCTATTTCATGAGTTTTCAGATTTCACTCTACTTAAACACAACCCAATGACAGATCCTGAATTTTGCAAAGGGGGTTTTCTAATTGAAGAAAAAATATTAGTTTCTATCATTGTTTGAATGAGACCCATTAAGGTTTCATTCATAATTTCCGTTTCAAAAGGTTTGAGACCTGGGGTTGGAAAAAACAAACAAATTAAAACATTAATTACTACAGGTTCTACAAAGAATGCTTTAATATTCTTACTCAAAACATTCCCTTTCATATTGCTAAAATATTACATTACAAAAGAAAGTAGTCAAAGCATTTGGTTAGTTGTAATTTGAAGCCCATGTGCTAAAGTATAAGTATTGTTATACTGTCCGAACTATTTTCAAACGATCATCTAGAGTAGCCGCAATAAATCCGTGAAACAAAAACCCAAATATTCAAGAAAATACAATTTTCCGTTTCACGGTTTTACTGTAAGAAGGGTGGTAAAGGAGAGCCTAGGTTCTGTTCTTGAGYCTAAAAATTTAACATCAACTCTCAGAATACTCCTTCACTACCGTTCCCTACTCTACTACCACATTTATCGGGTAGAATCGCTATGAAAAGTTCGTTTTACTGTTAGCATTTTAACAGACATCGACTTACTGGAAAGAAACGAAACAGGAAAGAAATATCTCCTTTAACTCAGCTTGTAGTCAAGTAGACTACGGCAGAGTTCTCGTTGCTTTTAATTCCAAGTCGAGATTTCCGTGTCAAGCTGGCTCTCACTTCACTGCCGAGACCTGTTTGGTGCGAATGCCATCACCTTAAGCCGTGAAAAACAGGCCTCAAGGAAAACCACRACTCGAMGTGCAATGGAGAGGGCATTCAAAGTGCCAAGCACAAAATAACCCTAGGGTTAGTAGGCTGTTTCACAGCCGTGTGCAGGAATTGARAGGAAGAAACATCTTCCCGCGCCAACTTTTAAGTAAATCGTCTCAGTCGATATAGGATCGGTTTGCAATCCACCAATCAGCGCGATGAAAAGTTTAACGATCGAGGTTTAGCATTAGCCGATTATATTCGGAAGTAAATCGTATGATTGTCGTTGCGTTAGGAACTAACTCTCCTCGACCCTTTATCGGAACGCCTGGTGAAAACTCTCCATAATCCATAATGGGCTAGGGACCGGTCATTATTTAACTCGGAGAGGGGGGAGGGGGAGGGGGTTGAGGAGAAAAGGCTTTTGATCCACAACAATTTCCAGAACCCCCCTATTATTGATAGCATTTATTTTTTTTCGGGACCCCTTTCCCCATTGATGGGAAAAATTCAGAACCCCCCTCAACAAAATGATTTAAATATTGGAAAATTATTTTTTTTAATTTTTTAACTATGACTGGTTAGCAGCACTATAAGGAGAACTATTTGAACCTGTTTTTTTACACGGCTGTGAAACTTGGAAATTAAGCAAAGAAGATGAGAAAAAACTGGATACCTCAAAACAAAAAGTAAATGTCCATGATTAAATGATGGGTCAGGGAAGGTGTAGAAGTTGAGAACATCAGTAGTGAAATACGCCGAAGAAGATGGAATAAACCCTTTTATCATATGATTATTATATGTAATAGGACTCCATGCTGTCCAATTAAGAAATAATTGGACGAGGAAAATTCCGAGGACTGCCAAAAATTGGACGAGGCCGTGGCCGAGTCCAATTTGGCAGTCAGGAGGAATTTTTCGAGTCTAATTATTTCTTAATTAGACAGCATGGAGTCTTATTACCTATTAATTATATAGCCACATATTGATCCCAAATAGGTAAAAACCAACCACAGCTTTTAACAATAACAGTAATGACACCTTCATTTTTAACAAAAATTAACTTTTATTTATATCAGTAACAAATCAGTGTTACAACATTTTGTCAATAATCATACATAACTGCGCTAAATTTATAACAAAAACCCAATTGAAAACCTGTCCAATTAATTTCTTAATTGGACAGGATTCCAAAATTAACGAAAAATCCAGCTTTTACCCATTTGGGATTAATATGTGGCTATATAATTATCTATGAAATACCTATATTTCTCCTTTACGTAAAATTGATATTTTCACTAGTGAAAATATCACATTCGAGGTTTCTCTCTATAGTGGAAGTAAGAAAAAAGATATTTTACGACATAATTTGCGTTCATATCCAATTATATGATAAACAGAATATTACATGGTCGCTTGGAGAGTATCTCCGCGCGGCCATGTAATATCCTCTATTGATACACTAACAGCCTGTGTAAATGTAAGAGATCCGCGAGTATAAAAGACAATGGAAATAGTTTGAAATTTAACGAGTTTTATTTAAATTTCTGAATATTTTGCACACAATTTTAAGGCTAACACAGCGTAAAAGAGATCGCGAAACTCAACTATTGGCATAGTGAGATGCTGCTAGTAGATGCATACCCTGACCATTCACATCCATGTAACGGGCAACCTTTATGGATTAAACTTGTAGATGTAGATGTAGACTTAGAGGAGAGAGAGAAAATGTTTGATTTTGGAGTGGATACCAAAGATGGAGGAGTACAGTACTAAAAGAGCGGAACAGGGAAGGATATAGCTGGGATGAAACCAAAACAGCAGCAAGGGACAGAGCTGGGTGGAAAAATAGAGTGAAAGACTTATGCGCTTCCTGGCGCGAAGAGAAATGATGATAGTCAAAKAATACATAAGATTTAAAACGTGCTATAAAATGAATCGCATGGTCCCTAAAACTATTTACAAAATCTGTTATTCTTGTCCCAAACCAGGGCATATGTAAGTTTTTAGACACTTCCCCATTGAGGTTTTATTTATAGTTGTACAATTAAAAAAAGTTTACAGCTTTTCAACGAGCCGACTTATACTCATATGTATTTAAATGT